ACCTTGTGTGTGTGCGTGTTCTTGCGTGTGTGCGTTCTTGTGTGTGTGCGTTGTTGCATGTGTGTGCGTTCTTGTGTGTGTGCGTTGTTGCGTGTGTTTGCACGCAAGTGTGTGCATGTGTGTGCGCGCACCCGAGTGTGTGCACTCGAGTGTTTGTGCGTGTGTGTGTGTGTTCGTGAGTGTGTGTGCGCGAGTGTGTGTGGAAGCGGAAGTGGGCAGAAGTGTGAAAGATAGTGAGTGTACTCACCTATATATAGTTGCAAGGTTTGATTCATAGCTCCGGGCCTCGTCTCTTCTCTGATCGATACTAATTCACTCTCTCCCTACTCTGTGAGGTCTATCATACCTCTTCTTAAGGCTATGTATGGATCCTGCCTCTACTGCATCACTTCCCAGACTGTTCCAATTCCTGACAACTCCCTGTGAGTCATCTGACTCTTCAACTATCAACTGTGACCCCTTGTTGCAGTGTCCCATCTTTGGAACATCCTGTCTTTGTCCACCTTGTCGATTCCTCTCGGTATTTTGTATGTCAATATCATATCCCTCTGATCTCTTATGTCCTCCAGTGTCATCAGGTATATTTCTCTTAACCTCTTCTCGCAAGACATACCCCTTAGCTCTGGGGCCATTGTAATTGCAAACCTTTGCACTTTCTATAGTTTCCTTATGTGCTTCACAAGGTGTGGGTTCCAAACTGGTGCTGCAAATTCCAATATTGGCCTAATGTAAACAGCAAACAGGGTCCTTAACAATTCCATATTAAGATGTCAGAATGCTTTTCTTAGGTTTGCCAGGCACCTGTATGCTGCAGCACTTACTTGGTTGATGTGCACCTCATGAGATGTGCTTGGTGTTTTACTCATCCCAATATCCTTTTCCTTGAGTGAAGTCTGTAGTCTCTGGCCCCCTAGGCTGTACTCCATCTGGGGTCTTCTAAGCACTTCCCCAATCTTCATAACTTTGCACTTGGTGGGGTTGAACTCCAGGAGTCAATTGCTGGATCAGGCCTGCAGCCTGTCCAGATCCCTTTGTAGTTCTTCCTGGTCCCCGTACGCTTGAATTCTTCGCATCACCTGTACATTATCTTCTAACAGGGACACTTCGGAGTCTATTTCTTCCGTCGTTTTGTTCACAAATATGTACCAGAAACAGCTCTGGTTCTAGGACTGACCCCTGTGGAACCCGCTCATCACAGGCGCCCACTCTGATGTTTCGCCACATACCATGACTGCTGTTGTCTTCCTGATCCATTTCGGTGCCTTCCCTGTTATCCCTGCCTGATCCTCTAGCTTTTGCACTAATCTCTTGTATGGAGCTGTGTCAAATACCTTCTTGCAGTCCAAGAAAATGCAGTCTATCCACCCCTCTCTTGTCTTACTGCTGTCACCCTGTCATAGAACTCCAGCAAGTTTGTAACACAGGTTTCCCATCCCTGAAACCATTCTGGCTGTCTTTGATATGTTCATTCCTTTCTAGGTACTCCACCACTCTTCTGATAATCTTCTCCATGACTTTGCATACTGTATATGTCGTTGACACTGGTCTGTAGTTGAGTGCTTCATGTCTGTCTCCTTTTTTTCAAATTGAGACTACATTTGCTGTTTTCCATACCTCAGGTAGTAGCCCTGTTTCTGTAAATATGTTGAAGGTTGTTAGTGGTACACACAGTGCCTCTGATCCCTCTCTCAGGACACATGGAGAGATGTTAACTGGCCCCATTTCCTTCGAGGTATATAGCTCACTCGGTTGTACGTATTGTGTCCAACAGTTGAAGGTGTACCCCACCTCTCTGTCTTTCTGGGGTCTCTCTTGTCTCCTTTCTGAACACTTCTTTGAATCTCATGTTGAACTCCTCACATACTTCTTTGTCGTTTCTTGTGATCTCCCCTCCTTCCTTCGTCAGCCTGATTGCCTGGTCCTTGACTGTCATTTTCCTCCTGGTGTGACTGTACAACAGCTTCGGGTCAGATTTAGCTTTTGCTGCTATGTCTTTCGTATTGCCGGTGGGTCTCCCTTATCACCTGTACATATTCGTTTCTGGCTCTACAACTGCTTTCGTTATTCTTCTGGGTCCTTTGCTTTCTGTACTTCTTATTGGTTGTGTGTGTGTTTGTTTTGGTTGTGTTTGTGGTTGTGTGTGTGTTTGTGTGTGTTTGTGTGTGTTTGTGTGTGTGTGTGTGTTTGTGTGTGTGTGTGTGTTGTGTGTTTTTTTGGTGTGTGTTTTTGTTTGTGGGGGTGGTTGTGATGTGAGGTGTGAGGTGTGGGTGTGGTGTGTGTGTTGTGTGTGTTGTGAGATTGTGAGTTAGTGTGAGAGAGTGAGGAAAGTGAGGGTTTGTGTGAGACTGAGAAAGTGAGTTAGTGTGAGACTGAGAAAGTGAGTTAGTGTGAGACTGAGAAAGTGAGTTAGTGTGAGACTGAGAAAGTGAGTTAGTGTGAGACTGAGAAAGTGAGTTAGTGTGAGACTGAGAAAGTGAGTTAGTGTGAGACGGGAAAGAATGAGATGAAAAGTGATTTAGTGTGAGATGAGAAAGTGAGTGAGTGTGAGATTGAGAAAGTGAGTGAGTGTGAGATTGAGAAAGTGAGTGAGTGTGAGATTGAGAAAGTGAGTGAGTGTGAGATTGAGAAAGTGATGTGAAGTAGTGTGTTGTGAGAGAGAGAGAGAGCTAGCTAGCTCTTAGTTTGTCAATAAAGTTAGGAATCCTTAACCTGTAAATAGCTTGTCAATAAAGCTAGAGATCCTTAACCTAACCTTGTCAAACCCTTTGTAAAAAAAAATGGAGAGAGAGAGAGAGAGAGAGGGGAGAGAGAAGGGGGGGGAGAGAGAGAGAGAGAGAGAGAAAAGGGGGGGGAGAGAGAGGAGGGGGAGGGGGGGAAGGTAGGTAGGTAGGTGTATGCATGCATGTATGCATGCTCACGTGTGCATGCTAATACGTACACATGTGGATATGTATGACTATAAAGATCTTAATAGCATGAAACACCATCCCAGTGTATGTTCTGCAAACCTGTCTTTTTTCCACAATTGACAGAATGCCATTTAGATCCAATAATTAATATTAATGAACATTTATAGACATAATCAAGCTATTTTTATGATTTTGGTACCTTATCAATATGTAGATGCAATTGTTTCCTTTAGTGGAAAATTACTATACTGAGAAGAGTGATCCAGTCCTTGAGATACACTTGTTTATTTATCTTTAGTATTTTTATTTCAATCTTTTATTTGTATTTTCTGTTTTAGTGCTTATTAGTGTTTTATGTAAAATGTAATTTAGGCTTTTTTTTTTTTTTTTTGCTGCAGTAATGGAATACCTAGATTTTCTTGTTCTGAGAAGTGGGTTACCACATCCTGCTGTGGCATTACGTAGAGCACTGAAGCGGTGTGCATAGGTGCCTGGTGTATCCTTATCAGAATCAGTGCCAGACAGTAGTAGACACTTAATTCAGACATAAAAATATGAGGAGAATATAATACTAAATAAGTGCTAGATTATGCTCTGGTTATGATTATAATAGTGGACTTATTTGAAACTCATGCCATTCTTGACAAATGAATATTTTTTTTGTTTCTCAAAATCAGTTTTTCTTTAAAAATTCTCCACATCTATGCACAACCCTTAATATGGTATAGATTAGTTTTTAAATCTAGGTATTTTTTGCTTTAAATTACCAAGACATCTGAAAATTCCTTGGTCGAAGCTGGATGTCCTAGCACGAAGTAAGATACATAAAGGGAATAATAGACTACAAATGAGGATAAGTAAATGGGATTCTTGTATGTGTCTTTAGAAAATGCGAGCTAGAATATTAATTGTAATATTAAAGTGACTATCTCAGGAGTCTTAATCTAGCAAGAGAATAACATTTGAAAGAAACAGTTTTATAGGGTGTATTAGGAAAGTTTGGAGTGCCAAGGTTAAACCACAATCAAGAGACCTTTAGTTGAATTGTTTAGAAAGACAGGGGTAATGAGGCTAAACAGGTACATTAATTATGATGAAGCAAGTAACAAGAGCAGCCAGCTAGACTGTATTAGTAGATAAGTTGAAACCCATAGAAGAATGGCTTAATATGTCACATCATTTATTGGTTTGCTTCAGTGTGAGCAAGGTGAAGGTAGGGTACAAAGAGACTGATGTCAGTGAGTAAGAGAAAAGTGAGAATTAGTGAAATAGAGAAAATGAATGCTAGATATTTGAGCAACTCTTGAAAGAAAGGTGGGCTAGAGAAAATGATGAGATTGAGATGATAGGGTGTAAATTTGGGAATGCAGTACTAGTGTGGTTATAGGATAGGAGGAATAGGAAGCAAAATGAATGATTGATGGAATGAGAAAATAGAAAATAAGGAGCATAGGAATTAAAGATAGTGGGGTAGATGGGAAGAAAGGTGGTTGAGATTGTTTGGTCATTTAGAAAGAAGGGAACAAAGTAGGTTAAGCAAAAAGGTGTAGAAATTTGTGGTTGATGGAAGGACGCGTAGGGGACATCACTGGAAGGATTGGAGGGAAGGTATGGAAAGTTTTTAGTGGGAGGGTTTGAGCTTTCATCAGGCATATGTGAGCATGTTAGATTAAACATAAAGTGGGTTTTGGGATGTGGTGTGCTGTTGGAGTGGGAGCAATGTAAGATTTGTGGAAACTGGTGGGTCAGACAAGTTCTGGAGGCAAGAAGTACATTGCCTGAACTTGCCAGATAGGTGAGGATGTTTCAGTTTGGATGATCATTATAATTGTGAAGTTCATGCACTTCTGGAAAGACAGCTAAGGAATGAGTAATAATTACATTTTCTTCTTTGGGTCACAACCATAGTAGGAAATAGCCAGTGTGGAAGTAATACATACAGTATATTTTTGAAGAAAGGTGCACAATGTATTTCCTTTGCTGGTAAATTTTCAGTGTATTCCTGTGTTATTAATTGCACTCTGCTTGAGTTATCAGCATTCAGTTAATCTGTGTTTATTTATTCAGAGTATTAATGTACAGTATTCTCAGTGCTAAAGGAGGTAAAAGTGAAAAAGAAATTGCTGAGGGCACAGGGGAAGAAATTGATGATGCAGCCGATTCCAAAAAAGCTAGTCCCGGGAATACTGTCCAGGAAGGAGAAAAGGTATGTTATGAGCACAATAAGTATTTTAAGAGTGAAAATACAATGAAATACTAATCCCAAAACTAATGAACAAAAAAAAAAATATGGTATCAGTGTGCTGGAGTAAAGTAACTCGCATTATATGCATATATTTTTTTTTTCCAGAATGCAATAAGCATCAATAAGTCGCTGAGATGTCACATATGTAATTTCTACTCTTTCTCTAGCACTAAGGTGAGTATAGTTGGTAATGATTCATTTGGAATGATACATGAAGCAATTTGTTACTGGATTGTTTTTAACCCTTTGACTGTTTCGGTCATATATACAGTGGACCCCCGCTTAACGATCCCTCCCAATGCGACCAATTATGTAAGTGTATTTATGTAAGTGCGTTTGTACGTGTATGTTTGGGGGTCTGAAATGGACTAATCTACTTCACAGTATTCCTTATGGGAACAAATTCGGTCAGTACTGGCACCTGAACATACTTCTGGAATGAAAAAATATCGTTAATCGGGGGTCCACTGTATATGTCTTACGAGCCACCGTGTTTGACGTACGTGTACTCATAAATTCTAGCGGCTTCAAATCAAGCAGGAGAAAGCTGGTAGGCCCACATGTGAGAGAATGGGTCTGTGTGGTCAGTGTGCACCATATAAAAAATCCTGCAGCACGCAGTGCATAATGAGAAAAAACAAAACTCCGACTGTTTTTATTTTTTTTATTAAAATGCTGACTTTGAGGTGTATTTTTGTATAGTATTTATCGTTGTACATGTATTCTCATTTTTATGGTCTCACATGATAAAATGGAAAACGTATTACAGAAATAGAGATGAATTTGATTAGTTTCATGATGAAAACGACCTTGAAATTGAGCTCATAGTAGCGGAAATGTTTGATTTTTACCAATGTTCAGGAGTAAGCAAATCACACCACATGTCCAGTACACGTAAACTGGGGAGTCTAATATTGTTTCACTAGTGCACTGATATTATTTATACCATTTTTACAATAATGCAGTAGTCTGCATAACAGTAAGTTTTGTATTTTTTGTATGAATAAAAAATCAAAATAGAAAGCAGTAGTAATATAAGTGGGGCCTAGAGATGTGACTAATGAACAGAGGTTATGTTATTTTAGTGCCAAGAATGTCTACATTGTTTATTCTGGACCCTTTTTTGAAATTGGCATCTTTTTTAATTTGCGTGAAATTGGCCAAATTGCCAATTTCTGACCACTTTATTGGGTAGTTCAAATCGAGTAATGGGCGGTTTCTTGTACTCAACCGATAGAGAAAATGGAGTTCTAAAGAAATCGCTATGAGTTTGGTCAACTGGAACAACGGAATTGGCCAAAAACAGGGCTCCAAGTGGGCGAAATCGCTGATGCGTATATGTTCCCGAGACCACTAACTTCGCGGGAGCATATTTCCGTGAGTTTTCGACCAAATGTCATACTTTTGGTGTCATTACCAAAAATTTTGCAACATAGAATGACAGTTTCAGAAAGGGGCTTGCGACAGTCAAAGGGTTAATGTTGGGCAAAAGGTGAGTAATATTTATTGTAAGAAGTCAGGTGTGGTAGGTATGGTAGCCCTCCTGGCCACCCCACGCACACATACTGCGACGTTTAACCCATAAATGGTCCAAACGTATATATACGTTTTTTCAACATTTGTTAGTACAGTGGTCCCTGAAAGTCATCCATTTCGGAAATAGTCCCGTTATTTCGTCTAAACATTGGCTCGCAAATGGTCCGTTAACTCGCTAATCGTCCTTCGTCCTGGACGGGTACTCACGCTCTGAGCCGCCTGGGCCTGCCTTCCCAGCCAGTGTGTCATTGTTTACCAGTGAGCGACGGTCCCCTCACATGCTCCTACGAAATATTTCATAATATTCCATTGATTTAGTGCTTGCAAGTGCTAAATAAGCTACCATGGCTCCAAAGAAAGCTTCTAGTGCCAGCCCTTTGGTAAAGAATGTGAGAAACACACAATTTATGAAAAAGTTTGTAGAAAAATACAAAGGTGGTGGTGGTAGAGTGGAAGCAGTTGTGATAGTGGTTGATGGTGGTAGTGATAGTGGTAGAAGGTAGTAGTGATGGTGGTAACAGTTGTAATAGTGGTAGAAGGTCGTAGTGATGGTGGTAGAGGGTTCCTTCTTTAGTGATTCAGCAATTCTACCAACTTCTCCAATGTTGTTGGAGTTATATAGGGCTACAGAAAACACCGCCGCCTCAGCTGCTGCTTCACCACCATTATGGACGGCTTACACTCAGTGGCCCTTATATACCCAACAACAACACAACACAACACCTCTCGTGACATACGTAATGACTTATTCATTCTAGAGTATATTCCATGTTTCTTTGTTATTAATATTGTTTATTATGTCATATTAGTTGAATTGTGATAGATAAATAAGCCATAGAGTTGATATTAGTGTCATATTCTCCAACAATAAACTTGCCATCCCTCCGTCACACAAACAAATCTCCAATAAGAACATAAGAAAGGAGGAACACTGCAGTAGGCCTGCTGGCCCATACTAGGCAGGTCCTTTACAGTCCTTCCCACTAAGAACATAACAATGGAAGAACACTGCAGGTCTTGTAGATGAATGGTTCAGAGAACCGACACTGTCAGACACTGCAACTTCTTGGGATCTTAATACTTAGGAATTCTTCACTTGCCTAATTCTTGGGCATGACCTACTTCCACATTGAACAAATGTGACATCACCTATGACTGCTGCACCTCTCCTGTCATACGGTTTATAAGCTGCTTCTCCGCTCATATGCCGTATTCTATTCAAGATTGATGGACTGAACACATCAACTCAAGGTTGAGGGACTGATTACCTCATTCTCCTCCTGTTCTTCAAGTTTCTCCTACGTATGGACTGATGAAGCCACTGTGTGGCGAAACGTTTCCTCAATAAAGATACCCAAGAGTTGCACATGTGTCTAATTTATCAACCGCATGACCTTACCCAAAGCTACCCAAGAATTTACTCCCGTACCCAATGACACAAATCAAACTCGGCTCCTCCAACTCATATATTTGTCCAATCTCTTCTTAAAGTTACGCAAGGTCCTAGCCTCGATCACCCTACTGGTAAGTGTGATGTTAAATAAGAACTTAAAGTAGGAACACTGGAACAGGCCTGCTGGCCCATACTAGGCCGGTCCTTCACAAATTCAACCCACTAACAGAAATGCTACCCAAGCAATAAGCTCAGGTGCAAGTCCTACTCAAATCCAACCCCTCTCACTCGTGTATTTATCCAACCTAAATTTGAAACTACCCAATGTTTCAGCTTCGATCACCCTACTAGTCAGACCATTCCACTCATCAACTACCCCTATTACCAATGTTCATTTATACATTTTATTAGTGCTTTACATTTATTTGGCATTTTTTTCTGCATGTAAATCTATATTTATGCTAGGGAAGTGACTTAGAGTCCTTATGGAGGGGGATTCCCCTTCCAAACAATAACCTCTCTTCCCTCTCTCCTCCTCCCTTTCTTCCATTCATCAACAACAGCCTTCAATAAAGGTAATTGTCATGTTGAATGTTCATTCTTTTGTGTATGTAAATCTATCTTTTAGGTAAAAAAAAAAAATTGTTGGCACTTCTGGGTGTCTGGAACGAATTAATTGGATTTACATTATTTCTTATGGGGAAAATTGATTCGAAAATCGTCTATTTCGATAATAGTCTCACTTCCAGGAACGGATTAAGGGACCACTGTATGTAAAAAAAGTAGATCTTTTTTTTTTTTACATTTGAAAGCGTGTAAAAAACTTCGATGTGTTTTTTTTTTTGTTTGAAAATATGTAAAAAAAAAACGTAGATCTACTTTTGGAGCACTACGCATGTGAACGTAGATCTGCTTGGACCATTTACAGGTTAAAGCAACCTAGAATGATAAAATGCATATATGGTACACTCATTACTTACCTTAAAATATTTATGTACTTAATATGAAAAGTCAGGTGTGGGAGGTATGGTATCCCTCCTGGCCACCCCATCCACGCAGAGTACTATGTAAACAAATGGACGAACGCGTCGGGTTATGGTTCATACATGTTCATACAAGCACCTTACGTTATGTGAGTTGTCTCCACAGTGGTACAGAGAATAAATAAAGAGCAACACTTCCATTCTCATGTAACATCATTTTTAGAAGGAATGATATTATTATTATTATTATTATTATTATTATTATTATTATTATCATCATCATCATAAAGAAGTGCTATACCCACAAGGGTCGTGAATAGCTATAGAGTGAGGGCATACGAAAGGAATATTTTTCTCAGTTGTCCCCCAATAACTGGTGTTTGACTAGAGAAAACGTAGTTCTTCTGATACTCCTGCTAACCTAACTCACGAAATCGTAATGACACGATTGCAAACAAACCCCACCCGTGGTATGGTTCGACTCCTACAAACCGCTTTGTAAACACATCTAGCTGTGGGTATATGTATCATGTTTATATGTTACATAGCATGATTATTATTTAATTTTGAAAAAAAAAGTCATAGATGGATTAATGGAAATGTCTATATTAACATAATACAGTGAACCCCTGACTTACAATATTAATCCATTCCAGAGAGCTCATAGTAAGACAAAATTATTGTAAGTCGAATTAATTTTCCCCATGAGAAATAATGGAAATCAATTAATCCGTTGCAGACACCCAAAAGTTTGAAAAAAAAATATTTAACACATGAAATATACATTTTCCTAAACATAAAAAGGAGGATACATGTACAGTATATATTGTGTACTACTAAATGAAGAATACTAAATACGAAATGAAGAATAAATGACACTTAACTTTATTGAAGCTGTAGTGATGTGTGATGAGATGGGAGGAGGGGAGATGGAAATGTATTAATTTTTGGAAGGGGAATCCCCTTCCATAAGGACTTCAGGTAGCAAGTCCTTTTCCGGGGTTACTTCCCTTCTTCTTTTAATGCCACTGGGAACAACTTGAGAGTCACTGGACCACTGTCGCACCAAAAATATGTCCATAGAGCTCTGTACCTCGCCTTCCTTAAAGATTTTCCTAAAGTGGTTCACAACATTGTCATTGTAAAAGTCACCAGCATGGCTTGCAATAGCTGTGTCAGGGTGATTTTCTTCCATAAAAGTTTACACGTCATCCCACTTTGCGCAAATTTCCTTAATCTTTGAAGACCATTTCTCTCTCCCC